CCAATCATTTATTCCTGGTGGGTCTGGGGCTAACCAAAATTTGGGAATCAAGCCCTTTAGCCGCACTGATTAAATTATATAGTATCCTGTTCTTATGTAATTTTACTAAAAGTTGAAATTTATAAAATAAACATGTCCACGGGTCTCTCTGTACAGTAATCCCACATATTTCCTGAATATATTGTAACATTCCCTTCCAGCAATCCTGTATTTTTGAGCAATCCCACTATATGTGTACCATTGTTCCTTTTCCCCCACATCCTCTCCAACATAAAGGCGAAATATCTACTTGTTGTTTATGTGCCTTCCTCGGTGTAATATAACATCTAGCCAAATTTTTATAATTAATTTCAACTGTGCTCATATTCGTCACCTCATGTGTTGATTTAAATATTTTATTCTTTTGTTGCTCGTTCAATTTTGTTCCAAGCTCCTGTTCACGTTTTTCCAAGAACTGGGGAGGATCGGTACCCTCCATATCCATAAGAATATTATAAATCCTGGAGGTGCCCTGTTTAGGAACTATAGTTACATTCAAAAGTTTTTTCAAATGGATACAGATCCTCCGACGTCCTCAGTGGTCGTGGGAGCATTGAGACAAAATGACCTAACTGGCCATACCGCCACTCGTCTAATGTCTTTTTTCCTTTAAGTCTGAAAAAGCGTGCAATTTCCCCATATTCAGTATGTCCTTCAAACGTGCATTCTTATCTTTAATCCATTTCCCAGAAATATTATCCTTCCCTGGGGGGAAATACTCCGCTCCCACCAAGGGAATCATAACTGAATTATATTTCCATCCATTTTGCTTATACATTCTATCCCAAACACTTAAAACTTTCTTTGTCAGTGGACTAATATTCACATCTAATGTGCGGAATTTATGTGGTACCCAAACCATCTTCCCTAACTGTGCCTTACTAAAAATCCCTTCCATATTCATCCAATCTTTCCCTTTTGAATTAAATATCCAGTCTATGATTTGTGATAATATCAACGCTTGATAATATTTCTTAACTTTAGGCATACCTAAACCCCCATTCCCTTTTGCCCTACACAATACCTCATACCTAATTCTCAGTTTCTTGTTTGCCCAGATAAACTTAAGTATCATCTTCTTTATTATCCCCAAGAAAGAAAACTGGTAGGTGTACTGGGAGTATGTGAAACTTATACAGGATTTATGTGGTACCCAAACCATCTTCCCTAACTGTGCCTTACTAAAAATCCCTTGCATAGTACTAGCATCATCTTTACCAGATTTATAAGACCTATCCAGGAAGCTCCACCTTTTGATAGTCTCCCCAGCTCCTCTTTTATTTTGTTTAATAACGGGATATAATTTGCCTGGTACAGGGCTTTTATTGAAGGAGTTAGTTTTATTCCCAAGTAGCCTATTTCCTTTTACCTCCAAGTAAATGGAAAGTCTTTTTGTAGACTCAGCTTCTCAACCTTTGGTATATTGATGTTTAAGATCTCTGACTTTGCAGGGTTTATTTTCAAATTTGATAGCTCGCCATACTGTTTTAATAGTCTCATTAAATTAGGCAACGTTATTCTAGGATTTACAATGTAGAATAACATGTCTGCGTATGCTGCCACCTTATGCTCCACTTCCCTGATCTTTATTCCTGCTATGTCTATATGCTTTCTTACCCTCGCTAGGACAGGTTCCAGGGATAAAACAAATAATGGAGAAAATGGACATCCTTGTCTGGTTCCATTAAACATTTTAAAGAACTGAGAGAGGGATCCGTTGGCCTTAACTGCTGCTGATGTAGCGCTATAAAACCCAGTTATCCACCTTAACATTTTAGGCCGTATTCCTAAGACCTTTAGTGTATCGATCATGAAACCCCAGTTGACCCTGTCAAAAGCCTTTTCGGCGTCAATTGACAGGAATAACTTCGGCAGTTTGTCTCTTTTTACCCTTTGTAGGAGTAGCAAATGATCTCAGGCCATTGTCCCTACCTTCTGTTCCAGGAATTAATCCTACCTGATCCAGGTGTGTCCACTCCGGCATCAACTCCTTCAGTCTGGATGCCAATACCTTAGCATACAATTTGGTGTCAATGTTTAGTAAAGATATAGGCCTGTAACTGGCACACCATGTGCTATCTTTCCCTTCTTTAAGTATAATCCTTATATGTGCCAGCAATGACTCCTCCCTCATTTCCAGCCCCTTCCCTATTACATTCATATAACCACACATTTTAAGGACTAGGATATCTCAAAATTTTTTATAATAACCCACAGTATATCTGTCTGGGCCAGGGCTTTTTCCTACAGCCGTATTTTTAGGGCTAAGGTGATCTCCTCCGGGGAAGGGAAATAGGTCTCTCTAGAACCTCTAATTTTTCTTCTGCTATTCTTGGCAACTCCACTTCATTTAAATATTTGTGTCTGTTTTTCTTTTTTCCTCCTCTGTTTCCTTTTGGTTTCTGGGCCCTTCCCCCGCCCCCCCCCTCCCTTCCCCCCCCCCCACCCTTCCCCCCCCCCCCCCCCCCCCCCCCCCTTCCCCCCCCGCCCCCTCCCTTCCCTTCCCCCCCCCCCCCCTCCCCCTCCTTCCCCCTCTCCCCCTCCCCCCCTCCCTCCCCCCCTTCCCTCCTCCCTCCCCCCTCCCTTCCCCCCTCCCCTCTCCCCCCTCTCCCTCTCCCCTCCCCCCCCTCCCCTCCCCTCCCCCCCCTCCCTCTCCCTCTCCCCTCCCCCCTCTCCCTCTCCCCTCCCCCCTCTCCCCTCCCCTCCTCCCTCCCCCCTCTCCCCCCTCTCTCCCCCCTCTCCCTCACCTCCCCCCTTCCCCCTCCCTCTCCCTCCCTTCCCCCTCCCTCCCTTCCCCCTCCCTCTCCCTCCCTTCCCCCTCCCTCTCCCTCCCTTCCCCCTCCCCCCTTTCCCCTCCCCCCCCCCTTCCCCCTTTCCCCCTCCCTCCTTTCCCCCCTCCCTCCTTTCCCCCCCTCCCCCCCTTTCCCCCTCCCCCCCCCTTTCCCCCTCCCTCCTTTCCCCCTCCCTCCTTTCCCCCTCCCCTAAACCCCTCCTGGCCTACATATAGTCCTGAAATTTGTCGTGTAAAATCCTCACTAGCGATTCCTAGTTTGGGGTGAGACTCAAAACACGCACACTGACCCTAATCCTTGACTCGTATCATCAAACACTGATAAGAATTTGATACTGGGTTTTTGTTTCTTATTGACTTTTCTGGAAATCTCTTTCGGACTTTTGTTTCTTACCTCCGCTTGCACGTCAATCCTTAACAAGGAGTTCTCACTTGATTCTTCATTTTGAGTAAATCACCATCACTGGAGTTAAAAGGACGTGAACATTCTTGCTGGTAATGGAGAGGCAGAAGGGAAATTCAACAAAGAGTTAATTTTGCCTTAGGAAAAACCCTATGAGATCTAAGACGTTGTTCAACTCACCAACATCTGTAAACAAAACCCTGCAAGCTCAGTGGATTTCAACACCATTTTATGCGTGAAAATTGACTGAGAAATATTGGTTATAGCACATCTCATGCTTGAAATCTTATTGGAGCATCAGTATGTTTGTTTTTTTTTTTTTTTAACACATTCCAATTTATTTCAGTGTTTAGTCAATACAGTGATGATTGGGACTACATGACAAGTGATTCATTTAATTAAATTTATTTTAAAATACAGTTTTTTTCCCTAGCATTATTTATCTTGGCTGCTTAAACATTATCCATAGGTGCTTTAGTAAGTGAGAAGGTAATAAAACAAAAAAAAAAATCATGCTTGTATTTTGTGAATAAAAAAAGAGAGAAATTCGTGAATAAAAAAAAAAACATACATACTCACCCTAGATGGCTGCAGCACCGATCCCAACTGCAGCTGTCCCTCGCCTCTAAGACCTCAAATACAGCTGATCGTTCAGTTCCCGGTCTTCAATCTGCAAAGAGCCAGTGACTATTAGTCACTGGCTCTCTGCTGTGCCCCTCCATCTGTGGAGGGGCAGAGCTAGAAGGGAGAGGGCGGGAGCAGCTGGTTCAGGTTCTTGGCAACTCACTGAGAGGATCCCAACTGTAAAGTCGGCATCTCTCCAGAGCTTCACCAGCTGAATGATGTCGGCCGACTTTAGCTCGCTCTTTGCTGAAAACGGGTCACAGGAGTGCAGAACGAAGTATACTCCTGTGATCCACAGGAGAAGTATGTCTAAAAGAGCTTTGGCCCTTCTTCTCCTATAGTGACTCCATACAGGAATTAAAATTCTGGCCAATTCAGAAGGAACCAGACAAATGTGGTCTCATGTATGGGCAAGAAGGTTGTACAGTAGTCAATCAACCAATTGACCAGCCTGTTGGAAGTCTCCTCGTTGTCAGAATACAAAGGCATAGGAGGGAGGATTCCCCCACTAACATCAAGTGTGTGGATGGGGGAATTACTTAGTTACAAAGCTAGTCTGGCTGAAAAAAAGACAAAAGTCCATTCAGTTCAACCATGAAAAAATAAGTTATAATCCTACACCCACAGTTGATCCAGAGGAAGACAAAAACCCCTGCAAAGCATGATCCAATTTGCTCCTGCAGGAGAAAACAAATCCTTCCTGATCCCCCGAGAGGCAATCAGATATTCCCTGGATCAACTTTACCTATAAATGTTAGTAACCAGTTATATTCTGTGTATCCAAGATAGAATCCAGGCCTTTTTTACAGCAATCCGCTGAGTTAGTTTCTTTTGTTCAACCTTATGGTTGAACTGTATCATCTCTGGGCTGGTTTACTTAGTGGTTCTAAAGCCTTTTTACCCTAATGCATTCTATTCTATTCTATGGAGGCACTCAGCAGGCGGAAGAGCCGAAGTGCCAGTGGTAGCATCGGGCTGCTCTATGCAAAACCATTGCACAGAGCAGGTAAGTATAACATGTTATTTAAAAAAAAAAAAAAGCGAAGCTTCACAATCACTTTAAGAAAGCATGCAATTTTATAAACCATACACTATTTAGCAAGTAGCTCAAGTCTAATTTTAGATTTTTTTTTTTTCCTGCAGGTCTTCTTCTTAATGGACAGTCTAAAGGATCAGGACAGTCTTCAGAAACTGAGAAGGATGATACATCTCAAGGGTCTTCACAAACCAATAGTGTAACATCATCAGATTCGGAAGATGGGCCAGTAAGGAAAAGGTTGGTAGTATATTGGTCTAATCATGCATACAGAAAATTTAACTTTAACCCTGGACTCATCAGGTTCCTGAATTATAACATAGTGTGTATAGGGAAAGGGAAGGAAGCATAAAGCTAGCGAATTCAGCACTTTGAAAGGCTGTAGAAGACAAGACTGCAGATAAACAGGTACAACTTATGTAGGAGGATTTGTTTCATCTCTGTGCAGCACCTGAGGCCTGTCACTTCACTGGGTATATGTGAGTGTTTACAATCACTTTAATTTTGCACAAGTAATGAGCTGACAGTATTTCATGGTTGCAGATTATGTAGGTTGATATATAATGTAGTTATGTCGAAAGTGGGAAAAAGGAGTAATAAGCAATCATGAGTCATTGCAGAACCATAATAACCATAGGGAAAATATTTTAAAGTGTTAATAGCAAAATGTATGTTAAATTATAGCTCTTCAAAAGCAGGGCAGTGAAGAAAGCACAAGATGAGATACAGCTTTTGACAAACACCTGCTCCTTAACTCACAGAAATGACAAAATGCTGTTGTTTCTGAGAAAAAAGGCAGAGCAGGAGGTATAAGAGACTAAAGAAGCCTATAGATTATACTGTAGATACAGAGTGAATTGTGTCCGTGTTTCGGTGAACTGGAAGTTCACTCAGTGAACTCAATTGAAAAATTGAAGGAGCCAAGCAGAAAATTATTGGCTGACAGCTTCTGCATCCAAACAGATATATTGGTGGGCCAGCTGCCAAAATACAGTACAATAGCCACAGCAGGAAATTCATTCATCTGCACGGTGTACTGTGGATGGAGAAATCTGTTTTTCAGCATGAGTTTTTCAGCCTGCAGGCTACATGGAGAAAAACGAAATCTATATGTGTATGGCCAACTTTACACAGCAAGTACATTAGCTGGAATCCTAAGGATGGGTACACTCGGGGACATAATATTTTGACAGTGGGAGTTCTCTACTGCCAGAACACACTGATCACCGCTGCAGCCGATTGGCAGAAAGCCGCTGATCAGGGAAGGTTATCCCGCTGGTCTGTTTGGAAGAAGCTGATCTAACAACTGTCTTCTGACAAACAGGGAAGGCTACACAAAGATCAAAATTTGGTTGTCCCATGCTGAACCATCAGAATTTCGATCCTTGTGTATCCAGCCTACGGCAGTCCATACATGTTTTGATTCTTATTCCTTCCTCCACGGGTGGAAGGAAAGAAAATCACTTGATTCCCCCAAAAACACAGTCAGTGCATTGAGAGGGGAATGTCTGCTGCAGCGCTATTGTGTTCTGCCGGTTGGGGGGGGGGGGGGAGGGGAGTGTTTGCGGGGAGCCTTTCTCCTAGCTGGCAGAACACAATGATTACTGCTAACGGCTATGGCCTCCAGCAGTGATTGCATGTAAAACATTTTTTTTGACCAAGTCGATTGATGGTTCGACTTGGGGTACAGTCAGCCTGCCCATACATAGATTGAAATTCAGCCAGTCCCTGCTGAATCTTGATCCATATAAGGTCAGCATAACTCTTTTTTTAGTATGCTTAAGAGCTGATTCACACATGTGCGGGTTGAAGCTCAGGTTTCACAGTTAATTGATACAGTAGTTATTCAGCGGTTCATGTTAGGTTTATATCAGTTTTGGGACAGGATTAGGGCAGGATTTTATCCTGTTCACACATGTGCGGTTTAGAAACGGTTCCCATAGAAGTCAATAGTCTGTGAATTGCACTTGAACCTTACGACACGCGGATCAGAAATCGTACGTCACTTTTGCAAACCGCACTGTCAGTGCATTGGACATATGTGAACAGGCACCATAGGAAGCAATGTTATTTCACATGTCACGTGGATTGGATGCAGTTCAAACCACATCCAATCCACATATATATGAACCGGCACTAAATGTTTAAAAGAGGAAAAACATTTATTTTTGCATGGAAAGTAGCTGTGGTGAATACTTGTTTAGATAGCCATACTTCCTAGTAATTAAGGAGCTTAAAGTGAATATCCCCTGTTGAGAGAAATGCCCATCAAACAGTATAATTAGTAAAGCTATGCTCACCAGAGGCTTGACTCTAATTAACTCCTACAGTTATATATTTAATATACACATACAGTCAATTTTATCACAGCGATCAAAGGGCATCCTTATGCTCTACATTTGTCTATTGTAGTTGCCATCATAATTATCTTTATTAATTGGTGGAATAATTTGTAGGGATACACAGTCCAGAAGTCACAGTGTATGGTTCATATAGAATGCATTTTCCCTCCAGTAAATGTATACTCTTAAGGGCTCATTCACACAGACAGCAGCCCTTGTTGCCCCTCTGAAAATCAATCTGCAGTGAATCACTTTTAAGAGTCTGTTAGAGCACCACACTGTGAACTTTTTGCTTGTGGTTATGGGGTGGCCCATTTACTTGAATGGGTTACATTTGGCAATGGTACTGTCACTGAACACAGAGAAGATATAATTTTTGCTACATAAGCAAAAAAAAGAAAACTAGTGCGCTGCCACCAAATGTGCAAAATTATTAATCAAAACACAATCTAACATAGTGCTGCAAGCACCAGTATGTGTTCACACATCAAAACAGACATAAATATAGTAAACAGTGCTAGGCTGTTAACACATTAGAATAAAGTAAATAAATATTGCTACAAACTGTGTGAACAATTAATAGTCTACATACACATATGTGAACCAAAGTGCCACCTACTGCAGCAGGGATGGTAAACACAATGCTGCCCTGCTAACACCATATATGTAAAATAAATAAATTAATGCCAAAAAAATGTGCTTGAAACAAATAAATAATCATAAAATAGTGCAAAAATAAATACAAACTAATACAGATTATTATTATTATTATTATTACATCGGGTTTATATAGCGCCAAAGGGTTTGCTCAGCGCTGTACAATAGGGGGGACAATACATGGCACAGTACAACAAAAACAGACAGCGTACGAGGGGTAAGAGGGCCCTACTCTTTCAAGCTTACAATCTAGGAGGGAGGGGGTAGTGGAACAATAAGAAGTGGCTGAGGGGAATGAAGTGGTGGGAGGAATGAGGGAGAATGGCCGTTAGGTGAGGGTGGGGTAGGCTTCCCTGAAGAGATGGGTTTTGAGGGAGTGCCTGAATGTGGGGAGGGAAGGGGATAGTTTAGATAATGTATAAAAAGTCCAAAGATAAGTCGAATGCCACCTACTTCCTAAAGCAGGGATAATAAATACAATGCACTGCTAACACAATATGCATAAAATAAATAATAATTATATTGTGTGAAAAGATGTGCTTGTACAACCCAGCTGCATTCTGTCTTTCAGGTGGGCAGTTGGTGGACAGTAAAACCCCCCTTTTTGCTGTCCCTCTGTCGCCCATGTGAACAAGGCCTAGCTGAATTAATATTAGTTTGCTAAAACAGTGTGTATAATAAACATTTGCCTTTTTCTAAATCAAATATTTACTTTCACCCTTTTCATCTCAGTGCTGCTGACCCTGCGTTGTTGCAGCCATTTCCTGTCAACTAGTATACACTCCCTACAGTTGCATGCCATTGATCTGGAGGGATCCTGATTACAACAAAAGTGGACCTAGCCTTTTAATGTGTGTTAAAATGGCCACTTGTAGTGACCATTGAAAGCTTGTGTAACAATGTGACAAAACAATGAAAATACTACTGCTTGAATGCTCCCCAAACCTGTATCAGTAGGATTAGCATGTGAATAGACTGGGGCAAAATGGACAGGATCAGCTTGTCAGGCTCTAGTAGACTTCAACAAAATGGAAGCCATCTGCACACAGACACCAACTCCCTGTTACAGTAATTCAAGAGGGGCTCTTGATGTAAGCAGGAGGGGGGTCCCTGATGTGAAGGGGGACTCTGGAGACCTGATCTAACAAGGGAAACTCTGGGGACTCTCCTTTAAGGAAATGACTCTAGGGACCCTGATGTAAAGAGGGGGCCTCTGGGGATCCTGATGTAAGAGAGGATTACTCTGGGGACCTTGACATGGGGGAGGAGGGGGGTGACTGTGGGGATCCTGATGTAAAGTAGGTGGTTCTGGAGACCCTGATGTAAAGGGGGGCTCTGGGGACCATAAGGTAAGAGGGATGACTCTGCTTTTTGTGTGTGTGTGTGTGTGTGTGTGGGGGGGGGGGGGGGGGGGGGGGGGGGTTCTGTGTGTGAGGGGGAACTATGATAGTAATTCTTGATGTAAGGGGGGAATCTGATGTGAACTTGTGGGCACATCCCGAAGCTGAACTCTATATGTTGTTTTGATGTTGTTTGCTCCTGACCCCCACATGTTGTATGTTACTTGACCAAAGTGTTCGTTGTCCCAACAATTGTTGGTTTTAATGTTTTTCTTTTTTTAAGGTAGGTTCAGACAAAGCGATAATTTTTAGTGTGCAAAAAAAGCATATGTGATGGAAATGTTTAAATTTTTAAAAATGATCCTTCTTTCTGAGGTTTATGTGTGTCTGTGAGACACTCACTTGTGACATAGTAAGTAGGAGTATTTTGTGGGTACAATGACTGTGCTATATTTGTGTAGTGTATACAGCGACTAGGCAGAGCTTCTGTTTAATCATTCCCCTTTAAGCTTCTCCCATTTTTAGGCAAAATCTGTCCTCTGCATCACTTAATACTGACCTCTGAATCCTACCTCATCTACTACTGACCTTTGAACTCTGCGTCACTTAATACTAACCCCTGTCCTCTGCCCTGCTGACCCCTGTCCTTCACCTTCTCAATCAACATGGACTATTTTTAATCCGTATGCTGCTAGCATTAATAAATGGATAGCAAAGTACAATATATGAAGTTCTTTACTTTTGATCTGCAGATTAAACAGACTAGATACAAATGTAACAATGTTACTTTGTACCTCTCTAAACACTGTGTCAGACAGTCTGTTCTTGGCAGTAGCAGCTATTACAGCAGCTCTATTTACACAGAAGTTCTCAGCTGTCATTTTGACAGCTGGGGATTGCT